ATCTTTTTTCAGAGCTCTTTGGCAGCAACAAGTCTAAAACACCCACTTAAATTAACTACAACACAATGTAGTGCAATGAAGAGAATTAATGTAATAACGCGTCTGACTACAACTCTCCCTCAGCGTCAGAGAAGTTCTTTGGCTGACAGCCAACACACTACTCAAAGAGTGGGATCTGACTTTGTGCAAATAGGAAAACTAACATTATACCTCTTCATGCTCCTCTTCATCATATTCTTCTGGTTCTTCTGCTTCTTCATCATCTTCACCTTCTTTGTCTTTTGTTTTTTCTTTCTCATCTTCAGATTTTTCTTCATCGTCAGCCTTCTTTTCCAACTCCTGTCACAAAGCAATCTCCTTTACAAGGTAATCTCATGTTACAGCAACAGCATATCCTCCCCACTGCTGCAGTTAACAGCAAGGCAACTAGCATAACAATGCTGTGCAAATGTTTTTTGTCAATATTTAAAACAACATGTCGTGAAGCATGAGAACCTCATAAGGACTGACTTGATCAAGCATTAGCTATCAGATCTGAAGTATAAACAAGTATGTCTTGTGTAATAAATTGAGATGGCGATTTCCCTTTACCAGCCACTGTTAGAATAACTGACAATAGAAGGCCATGTCATACTTGATAAAGCAATACCACATACTGTATATAATAAGGTACCTGCACCAAACAACTGACAGATCAACAAAAGAAAAAATACATGGCTGTTTCACCTTTAAGCTTTCCATTCCCACATGGTGGGTAGTTTCCTCCAACACTGAGGTCACTTTCCTCCCAAGTTTCTCTTTCTATATTGTTTCTTCCCTCTCACCTTATTACATTGTTTTAATTTCCAACATCAGTAGATTGCCGAAACTACAATAGATTTAAAAGCTCTGGCACCAATTCCTCCTTCAGTAAGTTCTAATAGTAGCTCTGCTGTTCAGAGTTATGCTACATTGCTACCCAGTGAAGAACAACTGGTCGTTCTGTTCAGAGTCAGAAAGGAGCAAAGAAGATAGTTTCTCCACAGCTAAGTTCTAACCTTATCCTCTCCTTTGTGCTACCACATTGCAGAACCGTTGTCTGTCAGAGTTACAAGACAGGGCCAGAAAAAGGCTGCTTTGATTATTTCATTTGTACAAAAAAACATACTAAAGGCTTCATTTTCCTTCAGCAATTTCTATTATACATTTCAGAAAGAGCATGCACATCTTACCTCAATTTTTTTCAACACATCCAGATTACTTTTAGGCTCAGAGCTTTTTGCCTTTTTTGGTTTTGCACCTGCTGAAACAAAACACATCACTATTATTTTTCTAATATGGAAGAACACAAATTCTCTTGTTTTACTTCCTCTTAAGAGCTTATATATTGAGTATGCCATGGAAATCCCATACTGTCTGTGTTTAAATTACCTTAGACTTTGAGCTACATCACTCATGGAGGTGTAAATGCCCTATTTATGTAAGTGATGCCTATAAGACCAGTCTGGAACTCACTTTGAACAGACAACTGACCAAACGTTTGGTCAAACTGTTCAGCTTCACAAAATACTTTTCACCTATATACCCACAATATGTTAAGGAACTAGATCAAAATCTCAATTGTTATTTTTCATCATCTTGAAAAGATAAAATATCATTAATGTTACTAATTTATGCAACACATAATGACAGCTGGGTGCTTGAGATAGATAAAAAAGGCAGACAGCAGTTTATTAGCTCCAGCACAGTAGGCACGGTTACTGCAGCTAGATGGCTTTCAGAGCACAGTTGGTTCTCGTCTAACGAGTCCACAGTGTGTATTTCCACCTCATCCCTTGATTCATGAACATAATCTTGATATCAAGTTACTCCCTACAATCCAGCCTCATTATGCTACTTAACAACATGGTGGAGCAAAGGTCAAAAATGGCATTCCATATAGCCAGATAAAAGCTACCTGAATTGCAGCACCCTAAAATAAGGGAATAGCTGCCCCAATTCCCAGAGTGCAATTTGACCTGTAGATGAAAAGAAACAGAGAGTTCCAGACTGAGAGATGTTACAGCCTTTAGAGAGCTCTTTGAGACGTCCTGTTTCCATGATGTAGCTGTGTTTTGGCTCTCCTGTTATATTCAGCACAATCAGATAAAACTTACAACACAGGGCTGTACCTAACACAGATTAGCTCTTCTCAGCAGGGTAAAACTGCCTGTGTGAAGTGACTGATGGACAAGGCAGCTTCAGACAAGCTAGCTTACATAACTTGCACCTTTTTTATGCTAGGCTGCACTAAGTGTCATCAGAAAGAAAAACAGTATGCGTTGATGGAGGGGATATCCCTTCTGGAGCATATAGTAACCCAATGTGGTTATGTATTTTATCTGGCCTAATACTTAAGGAAGCAGAACTCTAAGAGCTGCTAAGCAGACAACTGTCTTTTATCAAAAGCATTTGTCATAAATAACATCCAGTTCATTTCAGTGTTTTGCCTAGGAAGGGATCATGTGACAAAAGCACTGCACAGAGCTAAGGGCAGTCAAGCTGCTCTGTAATAACATACAAACAGCATCAAAGCAAACACATCCAGAATGAAGTAGGCTTTTAAGGAAAACAAGTGGAAAGCGCGATTCAAAATTATCATCTCTGCACAAACCCCTGCAGGCTTTTAGAGATAATGCCTATAGGACTAACAGCCTGGAAACATAAACAGACATGCAAGATCCTTCCTTAAATGCTGGGCATCTCTGGAGCTTATCATAAAATTAGACACTGACCCATTGTTAGAAGAACTTCAAACACAATAGCTCCTTACATCCATGTACCTTGGAGGTGCAATGGAATACAATCTCATCTTTCCAAATACCTGTTCTTGCAGTACTTGGGCTTAAATGCATACATCCGATTGCTGTATGCATATGCACACAGCTGGCCTACAAGAGCTGAGCCCACTCAAATCCGTATTAATTTTTTTTGGCAGGCACTGCTGGTATGTAGGATTCTGTGGTCCACAGCCCTGAGTAAGTGTGGGAGAGATGTGGATTTCTACCCGAAGTTTTATCACTAAGAAGGTCAGGTCTTAGGTTAAAACATTCATGGAAACCAGAACAGGGGAGGGAGAGGTATGTAAAAATGACGCTGTCCCTGTACATGTAACTGTGAAGTGATCCCAAAACCACTCCTTGCAGTTACAAAGGTAGAATGGTAAGAAGCCTGTTTGAATTTTGGTGCAGATCCTCTTGACTCTGTCACTTTTGATCCACTGGGTTATAAAGTGTCACCTAAGATGGCTGTTCTCAAAGTGCAACAAAAATATGTACCAGAAGGGCTAACTGTCACTGATCAGCTCTTTATAAACTTCCTGGCCTCTATATCATCACGATTCCCCCCAAAAAACAAAAGCACATGATTTTTGCTTTTAGAGGGACCTTTTTTTTATCCAGTCAAATTCCGATGGTCAGCTGATCTTTGCCATTACAACTATGTAAGAAAATACACTTTTAAGAGCAAACAGAGAAACTGGCACAAAAGAGGAAAAATCCCCCACAGTGAGCAGTGATTCTCTTTGCTTATGATAATCACAACATTATCATAACAAGAAACAATAAATCAGTATTTATGACTTCATTGGATCTTGGGCAGCCAATTATTGCCTATAGGCTTATAAAAGCCAATACAGTTTCTTCTTTTGGAAAAAAAAAAAGTAGGTATGTACTGGTTTAGAGATTTCGCAAATAAGTATTTAATTTTCAGTTGAATCTTGCAGTCTACCTTTACTACCATGCTTCTCAGTGACACTCTTAAAAGAAACAAAGTTCCAGCTGAACCAGTCTCCATGACTACTGCACATCCCTTTTTTTTTTTCCTATTTTAATTTCGAACTGAAAAATGACACATGAAGGACTTGGAGACCAAGAAAGTAAACAATTATGTGTAACAGACAGCTAGATACAGGACGCCAAGTGTTAGTTCACATCAACAGAGCAACAGACTTCTACAGAGAACTTAAAATAACAGTCATGCATACTAGAAAACACTTTGAAAAACAAATACACATATGATGCTGTGTAATAAAAAAGTTTTTTCCTGTAAGAACAACCAATACCAGCTCCAACTGCTGTTGAAGGATCTGGTTCACAATTCTGCAGAAGCAAGCTGAAAACAAACAAAAAAAGTAAAACCAGGGAAAATAGAAAATAACCTGTATTAAATCACATATAAAAGGCTTAAAAAAATGCAAAAGTCAACCAAATCATAAACAAGGTAATTGAGAAACCCAAAATGTAAAGGAAATCTGAACAGCCAGCTATTCATTGAATAGAAGTGTTGACTAAAGATACAAACTTTCAAATTGAGAAGTTTTGTGGGTTTTTAATCTTTCACTGTTACGTATCTCATATGTTAATAGGGTACATCAATATGAAAGGCAGGAAAGGAAGATAAATCTGTTCCAGTAGGTTAAAACATCCTACAGAAGCAAAGCAAAAACCACAAAAGCCAGGCAGACTAGTAAATTATTTAGAAAAAAATCTGCTAAAAGCCCTGATTATTCAGAGTAATTAACATTTCTACCATTTTTTCCCCCTAACCAGCTCCAGTATATCTTCCATCACTTAACTAGTGTGCACTAGATACTTCTTAAAAATATATAATATACCTTTTTTGGTCTTTTTCTTTGGCTTCATCTCTCTTGGGAGTCTTCTCCAATCTGTACAGAAAATAGCTTTAATATATATGAACGATATTACAGCTCTAATCCTCCCCGTCACCCACCAAGGAAAGGTAGGGGCCCCTGTTGTGCTTGATCCTATTTACATGCATGCCTAAGTGTTTTAGCACACAACAGTTTTATGGAATTCTAGCTGTACTTTAAATTGAGGAACTAGACTGAGGACTGGCATTTCACTCAATGATGACTGGCCTCTGCCCCAACGAGACAAAGTTCGGCCCTTCCAGTGGCCCACATGCCCTTCAATTTACACTCTATAAGTAAGTTTGCAGTAGTGAGCTCTACAGATGTGCTTGTGGAAGTTTAATGCTATAAAATCCAGCTACCTGTGACTGAGACATCACGTTGGGTTATTTTTAGTAACATCAGTGTTTGCTCCCAGTTCAAAAATGGTATCTGCATGGCAAGTAAGGAAGGACAGCTAGAGTGAGAGCTAAAGCTTACAATTTTGCTGCAAATCAGTTGTTTCAACTGAGTAAATTCACAAAATCAGATTTTTTTTCCCCTCTTTTTGAGGGGAGCAAAGTAATACTTCACCTTGATCTGAAAACATGCAAAGGTCATAACCCTCAACAACGAATACATGACTTGGTCAAGATTTGCATACTTTTTTATTGCTTGAAAAATAATTAATCAAACATGTAAAAGAGCAGAACATTTTACAGGCTAATAAAGAATTAGCCTTTGATAATCTCAGATACTACCTGGGGTCCATGCTGCATGCTCCTTTTCACTGTTCTGGTACTTTTTACTGTACCTCTCAATGGCTACAGAGAATACAAAGAGTTATTGAATTCAATTAATCAAAAATGCAATACAGACACTGTCCTTGATACTGTCCTGTAACTAAACACACACTGTATTTTTTTTAATCCCACTTAAAAAAACCAGTTTAATGTCACTACTTCGAGCAGTTCTCATGATAATTCCCAGGACTAATCATTTGCTAAGTACCTGCAAGACCTGGATTTTATATCCTCCCAAAAACCTGCAAAAACCTTGAATATTGTTTTGCATTTTTGGGGTATCTCTTTTCAATTAAAACACTCGCACACATCCCCCTCCCCCTCACCCCAACCAAACAAAACTCAAACCTCTCCAAAATTATTGTCATTTCTACTTTACCCTTGGAAAGCATGAAAACATAAAATGCAGATATATAAAATGCAGACTGATCCTGGTCAAATTCCAAGACTTTACGTACTTCTGCAATGGCAAAGCTTTGCAGCATAACAGAGATGTGTCCTGCACAGCAGCAACACATTTTAGTCTATTTAACCTCTTTCCAGGCACAGGAACTAAACTGATAAATGGATTGTAAATAATACAGTAGTTATACAGTGTAAATATATCCATTTATACTGCAAAAAAGCCTTCTTGTACAATCTCTAATGACAAAAGCAGTATCAAAATGTTAAGTATTTCAAAATCAGTCCCATTTTTTCTTACAAAACTACCACACCCAACTGCAAAATCCACTTAATGCAAAATTACTGGTTCTGGTTGCACTAGTAACTCATTAACCAAACACGGATTTTTGTGGGTATTGCACAAAAAATGGTAACAAAGACAGACTGTGACCTTTACAGTCAAAGGCTTCTAACACACTCACCAGAGAAAAGGAAGGGAGAAGGAAGACCTCAGACATGAAGCTCAATTTTAAACTTAGTTATGACGAGGGTAAGCAGAAGACCTACTTAAAACTGTGCTTAAACAAAGAGCTTGCATTTAAAATGACAGTGTCTCAAGGGGCATTTAACGTAGATGGCCTTCACAGATGGTGTTGGAAACTGTCAGCACAGAGACAGAAAGAAACTAGTAGTTTTGATTTCAGCTCAAGGGTTTTTAGTGAAGAACTAATTACTGATGCCATCAGTAAAAAAATACATCAGACTGATTCTTGCCACTTCCTGCTAATGAATTAACTCCAAACTGCTGCCAAGGTTACAGTCAGTCAGTCATAGCAGATATACCTACAGGAAAAATATGAATGATTCATAGCTTATGAAGTGAGAAGAACAGAGAAATTAGTATAGAACATGCCTGCTACCCACTCAAAATGCATGTTGGAATGAATGATGAAAATCTATTCTATATAGCACACTAATGCATCAAACTTGCCAGGCAATGTTAGACGTGGCTTCCATTTACTACCTGAATAATGAAAGACAGCTAGCTAGATATGGCCTCACTAATTAAAATGTTTCCCTTCTCACACTTGGCTCACAGATGTTGTGCTGAGGGTTTAAAACAATCCATTTGCTCTTGTAGCAAAGCCAGTTTAAGAAGATCCTGCCCACAGTCCCCCTCCTGCCTCTCTCTTAGTCCTACCAGTTGTTTTGATGAAATAAAGAGGAGCAAAGGGCTAGAAACCAGATAACAGACAAGATCAGTTAAAAATAATCTACCCTGGGGGAAGAAAGTGATTTTCTTAAAGCTAGGCCACTTCTGCCACGTAATGCAGTCCCAGAGACAACTGCTTACTGTGACCGAGATAAAAGCAAGCTTTTAAAGATGCAGACCACCACTGATGTAATTATACCCCACCCCTCAGATGAGGCATTTTTGTACAACTAAAGGTCAGTAAAAAGTTACCTCAACTTACCAATTTACCCTTGGGGAGATGATGATAACATTTGAAGCATTATTTGAGTCTATGAAGTGGCTGTCTACCTGCTTTCCCTGGAACTGCTAGTTTTTGTAGAAAAAGAGTCTTCAAAACTGGCAGTTCTACTAATGAGCACACTCAGCAACAGAGAGATATCACTCCATCTCAGAAAGAAGGCTGCAGAAACAAAGACAATTTTGAGATGGACAGCGAGAATGATCACGTGAGGCAAAGCTGGCAAAGAGAGACAGTATGTTCTCATAAAGTGGTTGGTTCCTTGGAAATAACCCTGACTGTCTCTCAGGCATAGCAGTTTCCTTTTTTGTGCCTCAAACAGAAACAGCAAACTTCAAGCCTGACAAAGATCAAGAGCATGGCAAGCCTCTAGTGAGATGAGAATCCGAAGGGATTGAAATTTGTTTACTCAGAAGATGAAAGAGGAGATGCGATAAAAGAGTAATTTGGAATTCTTCTACCATCATAAAGGGATCCAGAAATGAAGATCAGACCTGTTCTCCTTGCCTCATAACCAACGTTTTACCTGGCCACACCGTCAGGGTCCAGCCTGGGCTGTGCTTGTGCTGCACTACAGCTGCCTGCTGCGTCCCGGTGACTGCTGGGCTCCAGCTGCAGGTCAGAGGAAATAATTCTGCCTTTTGTGAGCCACAACATCTGGTTGGCAGTGTGTTCACTGCTCACACCGCACAGTGCTGCTCCATTTTGAATAGTGCCTCAGTACAAGAACAAGCGGACAATCAGTAAGGTATGTTAATCAGTATTACATTCAAAGCCTAATTAAAAAAAAAAAATTGCACGCAGTCTCAAAAACCTCTAGAATTCACCACTACACCATGAACAAAAATGACAAGAAATTCAGAGGGGATTGGACTATGTATCTGTTTAATATCGACATCATGAATATTCAGTCAGAAAATATTCTGATGGTGTGGAGGTGGAAATTAAACTTCAAGTTTTAGAGTTCAGGTCACCTCTCATTATTCAAAATCAGCACCAGATAGCAAGGAAAAGATAATCCAGTGTTTGGCCACTTTGGATTTCTTAGACATTTTTATAAAGCTTTTCAGCTACTGCCTGCTGCACTGACTGGGCCTAGGGTCTGACACATGCAGCACTTCCTAATATGTTATATTTGCTCTTTTCGTGTAACAGCACTTGCTATTAATACCATTCAGAACAAGCACTCAGGAGGATAATAGAACTAGGCAAAAATCACAAATGATGAGAAGCACTGCTCACAGTAATAACCTCCTGTGACTGCTAGATTTACCATCCCCCCGAGCAAGGTAAACAGACATTAAAGTCTTCCTACCCTGCTCCCCTTTCCTTCTTTCCCACTAGCTCAGTCTTCTGACCAGGAAGCTTGGATTTTAACAGTATTAATGACGTACGGCTGGATGTCAAGTATGGAACATTTATCATTATCCAACAATAACAAAGTGGTTAATTTTTAATTACGCATAAGCAAAAGATATTCTTAGGTTGCGTAAGATCAAGCTTTGGCTTCTAATCCAGCTCTGCTTCTGATGCAAATCTCAGTAAATCACTTATCCTCATGTCAATCTTCGTATTTCAGGTGACTTGTCAGTAATACTTACCGATCTTTCCTGAATGGACTTAGGGGAAAAAAAAAATTAGTACCTTTTAGAATGTCCAGCTATTAAATATAACATGGATTATTTTAAGTATGTCTTTACACAATTAAAATGGAAGCTGAATTTCAACCCTAGTATCTGCTACAGATTTCTTTGCTCCAATGCAAAAATTTTAGGGTGTTTTAACATGTAGAAATGCCTAGTTTGCTTGTTTCAGTTAACATACAATTGAAAAGACTGCATGTAGTTGGTCTAAAGTTTCTTACTGTGCATCAAATGGAATAGATGTTTGATACCTCTCTTTCTCACACAGTAGTTGCATTCCAGTTACAGTACTCGTAGGTGTGACCTACAACTTCAATAAGTGTAAAATCAGAAAAATTGCCTATTATCTTAAGCTGCCAATTTTTATTCCTCATTATCAGTACAAAATACATCTTCAACACATGCATTTCACTACATCATCCTTCATGGAATAACAACTATTGAAGATATAAATAAAAATAAAAAGCACACAAACAAACCTTCATGATCTTCTTCTACTGTCAAAAAATATGGCATTTTTTTCATAGTTCCTCTAAGATCTTGTTTTAAGGCCAACATGTAATCTTCGTCTTCTCCTGTTTTCAGAGGCACTGGCTTATTGTCTGTACTCTGTACAAATTATGTTTATTATTTATGAGGTCTCAATATCCATCAAATATACAGGAACACTAACAATAGCTACAATAAACACAGCTAATCACAGAAGACTGCAACTATACATTATGCTACTTCACAAGTATACTTTATTGCATTCTGACATGCATAACTACGTTTACAACTAAATTTATACCTTTTATGACTTTGCTGTATCTTTCTGCAAAAATGTATCAAGAAATCAAGAAAAAAAAAGTATTAAATCTGTGACATAGTCATTCATAGTCATGCTAAGCTCTTAATTGCCAAAAGCAGTTTTTCACACCAGCCTAACTTACTCAGAAACCATCGCTTCTCTCTTCAGTCAGAGTCCCGCTGGCCTTAAGCTCTTCTAAAACAGTGTTTTAACTACATTAAGTATGATGACTCTGAGTAACATGGACATCCTTTCTGTGACTATTGTCATGGAAACACGTTGTGTTGTCATACAACCAGGTAGCACTCAGGCCTCACACAATTCAGTTTCTGTCAGCTGAATTTAAATGAATTGCTAAGGTTTGGATTTTTGGGGTGGTTTTTTGCACTATGCATCTTGAAATTGGAAAAGATAAATAAGTGAAAACATGCTTAAAAACACACAGAACACTAGAGCCAGAGACAGAATTACCGAATGGATGTTGTTTCTCTCACATGTGCACAGATGGTGCACAATCAATACCTGAGTGGGGGGCTGCAAAGCGCAAAGTGCTATCACAAGTCCCAGAGCTGGATCATGAAATGAGTTTACTGCTTCCAGCTATATTTGCTAGCTGGCCAACATTTTAAATCACTAATGTTGCTGTTGGTAAGCTGATGCTCCTTAACGGAGTTTCTAATTGCATTTACAGGAAATTCCTAAGAACTCAGAAGGTATCTATTAGAAACATGCAATAGCAACAATTCACGGCTTAAAATAATTTCACTGCAAGTCTGTCAACAGCTGTAATATACTTTTTGTCACTGCCCAATCATTAAATCTAACTCTTGAAATTTGTATCGATCCTAGTTATGCCCCTAGGTGAACTTTATTTTTTTTGAATGGCACTAGACTTCCCCTGACAAGTTTAACTTGGTTCTGAAACTTTGTTCACAGGAGGAAGAATGCATCTTTAACTTCTCCATGATATATATATAAGATATACTGGTGCTAGTAATTCTTCTGAGAGGCTGATCCACTGCTGACTGTAACTCCAGAAGCTGCAGTTCACACAGAATTTGGCTTCCTTGTGCTGTCAAGCGGACTGCAACATTTGCATTAGGAACTGTTACAGGTGGCTTAGTATCAGTGAAATCCTACAACTTAGTTGTAAAGGTAGACTAAGAGGTTATATAACATCTGGTTCAGTAAGTCAAAACCTTGGGTGAAATAACTACTCAGAGAAATCTCAGCACAGCACCAACTATATGTCAAACTTGCAAGTTCTGTATCATAACATGTGAGATTGAGGAAAATTTCATGCACCTTGATCAAACCCTGATGTAACTGGGAAGTTCTCTTATACAAAACTGCAACATTGCAAGACTACTTTTCTACCTCAAAATTGTCCAAGTTTCCCTGCATAGCAAAACACAGTCAGAAAATGCTCTTTCTTCACTTTTCTTTTTCAAATACATGCCAAATGCCAAATCTCAATTAAGTTTCCTTAATTACATAAAATATGTTTCAGTTATTTTTAAATTATTTTCAAATGCTGGCTGTTGTGGTACAAGACAATCATCCAAAATCTTTCATGTTTGCATCAACAGTAAATCTCTAAAAACTGCAAATCCATTCATAGCTTCAAAGACTACTGTAATTTTATTTCAAACAAATTCAGATATCCAGTGTTTCCATTATTGTCATGTCCAGAAAACCAAATCATGATCAAGGCTTTAACGAACGAACAGCTTGACAGCAATCTAGTTAAATACAGGATACAACAGTTAGCAAAGGGACAGGAAGTAATAATAAGAAAAGCAATGATTTACATTAAATACTTCAAAACTGACCTGAAGTGCTTAGGGTTGTTCATTATATTTCATTACATTACCTAAAAGTGACAGTGAATACACTTTACCTGAACACTGAGAGTGTACTCTGAGATATTTGTTGTACTTACAGGAAACGGTGGTGGAGGCTTACACATGACATCAGGTAGAGCTGCACCTTTAGCAAAGCCAATAGCCTCTATGTTGAAGGTAAATGCAGCACGTCCTCTTCCTCTACCTGACCCAGCCATCTTGGAGTTACTGAAAATATTACAGATTTTTAAAGATTTAATTTTGCTACATGTATCAAAGGCATGCATATATTACCTATAAAATTAATGCCTAACAAAGATTACAGTAATTTTAAAACTACTCTCAAAGATCATTCTAAATAGCAAGCCATTTTTAATGCCTGTTTCAGGTTCTTCCACATACTATAAAGCTGGTACATGCCTAAAATCAGCTCCATTCCCTCATTTCTTCTAGCCACCTCTGCATGCCTGAAATTACCTTGTAACCTAGGAATGTTAAACTTTCTTCTTCTAAACCTTAGATGCACTGACTTGAGTTCAGAGTGGAAGAACCAGAAACAAGCGAAACAAAAGGAAAAAAAAGTTCAAGGACCCTGAACTTTCTGTGGATATATTTTGCAGTTTCTGAACTTTTCTCCAACAAAGTTTGTGTTTGTCTCTCATGGCTTCTTCATCCTTAAGGATTTTCTTTTCCCCTTTACCTTTGTAAGTAGTTTCGGGTACTGATAAAGAACCAAAAGTACGGTAAAAGCATCAAAGGGCTCCAGCATGTCTGCAAGCTAGCTGCTGATAAAGGGAGGTTGTTTATAACTAAAACATTTACCAAGGATCTCAAGAAAAATAGCCTGCAAAACCACATTTACAATCACATCTCACCACCTTCACGGTTACGTCCATCTTCACCTTCAGGATGGTATGACCCATGGGTTGGCAAGTAAAGCAAAATGTGAGAAACACATTTTTTGCAAGGAAGGTGTCAAGGAACAGGACCTGGCTGAAGCAATGTGCTTACTGCTCATTCGCCAAGACCGTGTAAAGATCAGTTCAAGGCCCCAGCCCCAAAATCCCACATGCTGTTGACCATTAATTGCAAGGTTACCATATTGCACCCTGCTTGGTAAGAACGTGTCTCTTCCAGACTTACTGCTGTACCTCTATCATCACATCTATTCCCACCATAAGTGTGTGAGATAATAAGTGCAAAGAGGAAATAAGAAAGCACAATACCTACACCTTCTCACACACTGTCTAAAATAACAAGGAACCCAGGAGAGAATTATGATTAGGAGCAAAGAAATGCATACTTAAGATTAAGATTCCCCCAAATGGAAGCAATGGCCTTTTTATTAAATGCCAGTGAGAAACAGGTTGATCCAAGTATTTTCCCACTTACTATTTTCAACAGGCATAAGCTCTGCTTGGATAAAACAAAAATCACACTATGTATTTCCATATCACTCAGCAGCAGAGAAAGCTGTCTAAAAATATGCAAGAGACCTAAATAAATCATTTTAAGAAAGACAACAAAGCAAAAGCTAAGACCGAGCACTTAATCAGCTGGAAATAAAAAAATAAAGAAAAAAGGAATAGCAAACTCATTTGAAAACAGGATGAAAAGCAAGATGTGAGTGGAGAAAGATAAAAGATACTGTAAAGCCCCAAACATGAGCAATTATATTATGTAGGTGTGAAAAAAGGGAACAAACAAGAGAAGAAAACAAACAAACAAACAAAGTTAAGGGAGCTGTCCAGCTAGTAAGGAGAGGCACACTGTTTACATTAAACGTAGTGAATATAAAGGTCCTTTTTTAAAATTCTGCTTTAAAATTAATTCTCAGTAAGATTCTCTTGAAATAGCGCGTTCGTCTGATGAGAAGTAACAAGTTTTAAAACTAGTGGTACTTCAACTACTCAGTTTTACTGAAAACTCATGATTTTTTTCCAAGCACACTGGCTTAGAAGGTTTACGTCTACCGATACCATAAAGTGACAGATGATGGGAGAAACTGTGAAGGAAATTTGAGTTGCACAACTAAGTCAACAGAATCACAAAGCTTGGAAAAGCTCTCTAATATCATCAAGTCCAACCTTTAGCCTAGCACCGCCAAGCCTACCACCAAACCATGACCCTAAGCCCACATCTACATGTCTTTTAAATACCTCCAGGGATGGTGACTCCACCACCTCCCTGGTCAGCCTGTTCCAATGCTTGACCACTCTGTAAAGAAATTTTTCCTAATATCCAAACTAAACTTCCCCTGGTGCAACTTGAGGCCATTTCCTCTCGTCCTATCACTGGTGACTTGGGAGAAGAGACCAACCCCCACCTCACCACAACCCCCTTTCAGGTAGTTGTAGAGAGCGATGAGGGCTCCCCTCAGCCTCCTCTTCTCCAGACTGAACACCCCATTTCCCTCAGTTACCAAGCATGACAAAGTTACCAGAACAACTAGTGTTTTGGCTGCCACAAGGGATGCCTAATGCAGCACCTAGGTGCATTTTTGTCTCTAGAGGTAGTTTGCGTGTCATTTATGAATGAGAAGGTGAATTTCAGATTTGGGCTTTTAAAATTCCTTCAAAACTACGTACGCTGCTGCTCGGGCAGTCAGGCAGGGAAAGGCTCCAGAGGCCTCCGGGAGGGAAAGGCCTGTGGAAGTGGGGTGGCCGCCGGCTGCGATCGCGATGGCGGCAGGCGCGAGGAGGTTCGGCACTCGGGCAAGCTCTAGTGATGGCACCTTCCTTTTCCTCAGGACAAAACTCTCAGTCGTCTTCAGATCCTTGATCTTCACACACAGAGGCACACAGTGCAAAACCAGAAAAAAGAGAAAGGACTGAAATATAAATACTGAGGTTTTGCGGGTTGGTTTGTGGTTTTTTACCCGGTGCCCCTGAAGGTAAAAGGGTGAAAACACT